AGAATGTGAGTTAACTCTTTCAGTTCTCAGAGCACCCCTCTGGGGACAGGGGCTACACGGAGCCCTAATGTACCAAAGAAGTGAACCCATTTCCAGAAAATGAGACTATCCTTTCTCTTGCTTGGAAGATCAGATGCATTTTGTATATAACTTTTCAAAAAGCCAACACACTTCTAAAATAAATCATAGTCCTGGGTAATAAAGAATGTTATTCACATTGTCTCAGGAGAAAATTAAGGTCGGGCTTTTACTTTTTTTGCAATCACAACTTGTGAAAGTGTGACAAGTCCAAGTCTCTTGCTGAGGTCAGACTAGTTCAGCAAAGGGAAATTTCTGTAAGGCACAAAATTACACAAGTAATTCATGTTAGATTAGTCACTGTGACATGTACTAGCAAATGTGAGAATCCTAAAAAGTTTCTGGTGGAACACTTGCCTCTCAGTGTCCTCTATTGCACTATACCCATAAATAATAAAAAGGCTGATAACATTGCTTTATGTAAGCAGGCTTAGAAATCACTCTCAGATAAGTGCTTTTGACCTAAATCTTGTAGCGCCTCGATCTGACATATAACCCTACAACTGTGAGATTCTGTATGAGATTTAACAGTCTCAAACTGCTAACTGACCCAACCGTAAAGCAAGCAGAGATAAAGATTTACAGTCCACCATGATACAATTAGACATGCACCTTCTATTTATTTCAGTACAGCTAAGCATTTAACCCACTTAAAAACTGAAGGTTTTTCATTAAAATACAAATGCATGTTAATCATTCATTCTGTGCCACCTCCTCTTGCATCTTATAAATTAGTCTATTATGAAGGAAAAGATTAGTTTGTTTCAGAGAAAGGAGTAAACAGGAATGGTTTCTGTAAAATCCTTCTAGACATGCAAAGATAAAAGATGACTTTACCACACAAAATAATCAGATACAAATGGCTGTTCAGAAGCAACATACCTAAGGACTACTTTAATCAAATATTTAGGTTACCTGCCAAAAAGACCATGATCTCTTCAAAATGCAATGCGGATTAAAGTGTTATCTAACACAAGCAGAAAACTAACCTTGGAGTGGAAGTTTGAAATGTGTTCATCGTAATTTTCATGTCTTTGGATAGAGAAACCAGCTTTTTCAGCTAGATTGCAAAACTGGTTTAAAGTACTCCCTCGGTGTGGGGCAAATACCATCGCTTTCCCCTGGAACATTAAACAAGAAATTAACACATTTTAAAACTGGAAGGCAACCAAATACAATGGACATTGGTTAAAGCATTTAATATACGGCTCTCAGGTAGAAAGTCCACACAAGGTGGGCACTCACAGTAAGAATAATTTCAAGGACAGAAGTACATGGAATAAGGAAATATATAATTCACATTCAAATGGCTAGTTGCTATATTTTATCCTTTAGAAACAATGTACATAATAAACAAAGTGTGACAGAAAGTTGGTGTTCTGAACAATACACAGTTTTGGGTCTAATGGTTTAAGCCATCGACTAGCTATTAGTGTCGGGGCTGCCCACTCACCTGTGACTCCTTTGCACCTGCCACCACAGTCATGACACAGCTCCACAGCATGCAACACAGGCCTCTACATATTAACTTATTATGCCCTGGGAATTCAGTATCAAGCTGTGCTCCCCAGAGGTGAGTAACCACAATTCCACAATTCCTATTGAGACTTTTCACATTTCAGTCCTGCCATGACCACTACCTCTTCCCTGTCAGGGACAAGGTTACAGCACTTTGATTTTCAAGTTCAGTGAATCCCCAGAATGGTCATCACTCTTGCAAAGCACTCCTCCCAGCAGTCAAATGAAAGTGGTATCCTGAGGGTAAACAGACTTTTCTAAATACCCACTTAAGAGATTGCTGGAGGACTGGTCTGCAGAAGGCCACCTGACAAGAAACTTCACAATGACTGTAGGTAACGGGGTACATGTGGTTCCACCCCACTCCCCAGATGTATACAGAAAGGCCAAGCTTTTCTGAATCCTATTTTCTTCACATTTTTTAAAAATAAAAAGATGATTATGTGAAGTTAACACTTCACAACTATGAAATGCTACTTCAGGCAGTGAGGGAATCATCAAAATAAATTTCTTTTTTTTCTCTTTGTTTTGTTTTGTTTTTTGAGACCAGTCCAGGCTGATGTGGAATTAACTATATAGTTCAGGCTGGTCTTGAACTCATGATTCTGCTGCCCCTGCCTCCTGAGTGCTGGGATTACAGGCATGCACCACCATGCCCAGCCTTATCCCAGTTACTGATGAAAAGTGGTTTATCATTCACACCTATCAGCTACTTGTTGAACATCTGGAATGTGTTAGCCACTGGCCTAGCCATCCATGCCTTCTGTGTATACCTCATCTCCTTTAGTCTCTAACCACCCCATATACCTGGTATTCTCAGGTCTATTTTACAGGATACTCAGAAAGGCTGGATAATTGGCCAAGCTGGCACAACCAGTAAACGGTTAGAATGTTATCCACCTGATGACAACCCAGATGCCCTTTCACTCCACTCTATCGTCTCCTTATTAGTAATAGCGATGACAATGACAGCTACCACTGTGCTAGATGCTTTACAAACCTTCCATTTAATTCCTTCAACTATCTTCACAACCGTGTTCAGTAGACATTGCAAGTGGCAGACGATTAAACAAACAATAAGGGTTTGAGGAACATAAATAGGAACAATAAGGGTTTGAGGAACATAAATAGGAACCATGGGGTAGAAAGGATACTGGACTCAAAGGGAGTCTCCACCATTGAACAGCTACTTCACTGCAGGACAACTGGAAACCAAATCATTGAACTGCTGAGCTAGAAGGGGCTTTGGAGATGACAGAGTCCAATCCCCTTACTTTGTACACAAGAACCTTAAGCCCTCCTTGCCGACCCACTGAGTCTTCTCATCCATCCAATGGGAAGAACAAAGCCTACTGGCTTTTTTCCCTTCAGCAAGTTGTGAGGATCAAATGAGGTGGTGAATGGAAAAATAATTTGAGAAACAAAGTTATACAGATGTAAGATTAGAAAAATCTATACCACCCGACTGTGCTATAAAAATTCTCATCTCTCACTCTCTCTCTTTCTCTCTCTCTCTCTTTCTCCTGCAAGAAAATATACTGATACATTGTCCTGGATATCAAGTGTGTTTTTACACTGTGTTTACATAGATATGTGCACACTCAGGTGCATAATTATAGCTGCACCAGTCATACCACTACACTTAAAGTTCTGTCAGCTTTTCCAATATTAATTGCTATTTTCAGGCAGTTTTCAAACTTAGCAGCAAAAATTCATTTTTATGTGAGACTAGATATAATACATGGCCTCAGCAGGAGAGCAAAAGTCTCCATTAAAAAAAAAAAGGTAGGAATACCAGTAGGTCATTTTAGTCATTTCTAAGAGCTGGTTGCCATTCTGGATTTTTGAGTAATGGAAGTTGTTTCATTTTAAAGTCACGTGCAAAGAGCGTCTTACAGTTACAATCGAAGAGTTGATTTTTACAGCTGTCATCTAAGCTGTATCTCAGTATGTTGTAAGACGACAGGTTTCTGGGTTGGGCTGATTTCTGCATTCACTAAGCACATGCCCCCCACATCCCACCCACTTGTGAGTTGGGGTGAGTGGTAAGGCTAAACCTGTGGCAGAGCTGTATGCCTAAATGTCTCTTTCTTTCCTCCATTAAAGCTCAGTTTACCTGTCCTTCCCTAACCAACCTATCCAGAACAGAAGCTCTCCTCCCCCAAGAATCTCACTCCTTGCCCCTTGCAGCTTTATTTTTGTTCTTAGCACTTATCACCACCGACACACATTATATCCTTGTTTATTATTGCCCGGCTCTTCTGGCTGGTATGCATGCTCCATGACAACAGGGTCTTCTAACATTTTACTCACTGCACCTTCTCATTGCCTAGCAGATAGTGGGCACTCAGTCAATGTTTGTTGAGAGAATAAACTAAATCTACATGTTGAATAATCTGAAAAATATAAGTCTTTGGGAATTTGAAGGCCATATTCTATTGCTTATCCTTTTGAAAAGATTTCTCCAAGAAGTTTTTATAGAGTTAGCTGTGTGGTGGGATTTCAGAGGCAGTTGGTGTCCAATCCTGTACCCATGAGAAAGAGAAAGAGCAAGCAGTAGTTTTAAGCTCTCAGTTGAGTTTTGGATTGTTTTCTTTGTTGTTTTGTTGAACATGAATATTTTTGAGATGTGGATTAATATTTAACAAGGAAAACAGTAAGTTATCTGTTAATTCAGTGAACATTTAATGAGCCCTGCTGAGTGCCAGCCTCTGCCCCACACTGCAGTGAGGTGCTCCCCAGTGCCCCTGAGAAGCACAGCACTTCATCTGTGGAGCAGTCCAACCAGAGGAATATGCCTTACAATTTAGGCTGCAAAAATCAAAACAAGAAAAACAATATAGATTTCAAATTAGCCCTTTGCTTGAGAAAAACTATTTTCAATTTATCAAAGCACAACTTTCTAGGCATTCAGTCACACAATCACCTTAAAACTCAGAATGAACACTCAATTGAATGCAAAATTTTGACTGATGTGAGGACATTTGAGGGGATTCATTTATCCCTGGAGAGAAGAGAGAGAAGTTCCACAAAACAATAATGATAATGTTTACATTGTGAGCGTCATTGTTGTTATTTTGCTAGACTACCCTACAGTCACATATTAAAGAGTGTGTACTTCTGGAAAAAATAAGCATGCTTTGGATTTATTTTTAAAAGGAATATGCTATGCCAATGAAATGCTTTATTCCATTTCCAGGCAACTAATTATTAAATACTGACTACATGTTTAAGTTTATGCTTATTTTCTGTTTCTTTGCCTGGTTTCTGGGACACTTCTTTCCCCTGCTTTCTCTTCTACCTCTTGCTCACTCTTGGTCTTCTTTCCTGGCCTCTCTTTTCCACTTGCTTCTTAATTGCCAGTGGTTTCTAGGGCTCTGTCTACTTTTCCTTTATGTTCTATATAATTCTAGGCAATTGTTTGAAGTCCATGCCTTTAACTATCACTTATACATCAATAACTTTCAAGAGTATAACTGTAACATTCACCATTGTCAAAGGCCTACACCCATGTTTCCAAGTGCCTACTCATCTCTGCATATGGATATTCTGAAAATACCTTTAATCCATTCTATTTGAAATGGAAATCAGTAGCCCAAACCCTTATCAGGATGCTACCCATCCAACCCAATGTACACATCTCCGCCACACCCACAGCCACGCAAAGCTGAGCACCTGCTAGGCATCAAGTACTTCCATACACATTGTCTTCAAAGTGAAGCTGGAAAGCTGGGAATCATAGTATTATATTGTCTTTTCAAAACTTCAGTGCTACATTTCACCACCTTCATCACTGTTATCTGCTGCAGATGGTTTTCAAAGTGTTCTGGAAATTGCTTCAAGGGAACCCTGGAGGTGTAAAAGGGACACCAGGACTGGAAGCACTAGTATTTTCACTTCCGGTTTAACTAAATCCTCTTCTTCTTCCTCTTCCTTTTCTCCTCCTCCTTTCCTTCTCCTTCTCTACCCCCCTTCCTTCTTTCTCTTTGAGGATTGAACCCAGGACCTTACTATTATTTTTTTTGCACTTGTACTCTACCTTTTATTTTATTTTCAAACTATTTCCCAGACCTGGCATATACTTGCCTTTTATTAACATAATAACAATATTATTTCCATTATGAAAAGTAAATGTGCACTCTACCACTGAGCTACACTCCTAGCACCCACTTTTTTTTAGTAAAAGTAATGGTAAAGGTTATAAGAAAAGGAATCTAGTGTAACAGGATAAAAGTGGGGATACATTAGGGAAAAAAAGGAGAAACACTTCCTGCTGCCCATGCAGGAAGTGGGAGTAAAAACTCAAAATGGTGGTCCTCAGCTCTAGTCTTCTATTTTCCAAACTGGGGGAATACACGTGGACATTAAGATAATGGACCTGGATAGCTAAGATGGGTGCTAAAACAGGGAGGCCTAGCACCCATTTCTAGCTCTTTAATTGGGGTTCCGGCTAAACATTTGTTGACCAAGGGTTTTACCATTTAAACAGTGTTTGAAAACCACTGACAAGGGTCCCAACTTCTTGAGATAGTGGGCAAAGCTTCCCTTGACCTGACCCATGCCTCTACCTACATCCTCACCTCTTGCTTTTCCCCATACTTACCTTGGGCTATAGTCAGACAGAAGTACTGTACCTGTGGTACATTCTTTCATGTATCTCTGTGTCTTGAAATGTAAACATTCTCTTGGGGCAGAATGCCTCTCTTACCTCCAGTTCTTTGTCTGCCTGCTAAATTCTTACTCATCCCTCAGCACCCTCATTAAGACACTCTTCCTGTGATGCCTTTTCTGACCTCTTCTGGCCTCCACACTGTGCCTTCTCCCACAGTTGTCACTTCCATTCCCTACCTTCATGGGTTACTATACTTCTGCTCTACCCTTCACACACTATTAGATAACTGGACTTTGTGTTCCCTGGGGATAGGTTTATGTTGTTTCTTACTCCCTCCCCAGGTCCTAGCACAGTGTCTAGCATCTGAGAGGCATTTGCTCAATGAATCTGTCAGCAAATATCCATTCTATCCCTTCCTATTGTCACCAGCTCTTCAGTAGTTCCTAAATGGATGATTCCAGGTAGCACTTGGCCTTGCTGCATTCAAGCGCTCACTTATTCCAACCCAGCCTCTTTGCTGTGGCCAGAATGATCCTTCTTGAACATGTTTTTGACCACACCACTGCTCATAAACTTTCAATGTCTCCCTATTATCCATAGGATAAAGCATCTTCATCATGGTATTCTCAGCCTTTCCTAAAATGGTAACTCACACTAACTCTATAACCTCATATCCTGTTCCTCTTTAATTCTAATCCCCAAACCAGACAGACATACTTTCACTCCAGTCACTCACCAGAGGGAGGAATAGGGACAGGGGACATTGCTTTTTGGAACGAGTAAAGCTTGCTGATCTCATTCTCTTAAAACATCTATTCTAGTCTGTGAAGTTTGGGGGAGTGTCCCTTGTTATTTTGGCAGGCGTCAATGCTGCAGTTTCTCTCGGCCACCAAGTTCAGAAAAAGTCTTAATTTCGAGTAGGTGGCAAACATTCCCTGGTGAAACATGGAACTCCTATAGTGACTCTCCAGCCACAGGGGCCTACTTTGCTGAAGAGCTAAGCTCAGCCTCAGGTCACAAGCCAGGTGCTCACCTAGGGCAGGGACAGAGGGTATGGTTAGGCTGTCTCTGGCTTCCTATTTTTCCTCATTTAGGACTCCATTATAAAAACTGATAAGCAGGGAATTATCCCCTCTTCATCTACTTTTGTTGCCTCTAGACCTTTTGAGTTCCAACAGATGATATAACCAAAGAAGAAATCAACCAACCATACTCACCAAATGGGCAGAATTTTTCTTCTCACAGAGTGACATCTGAACCTTGATGTTGCAATTATTTCACTCTTGCCAATGTAGTCATCTCTCTCTCCCTACTCATGGGGGCAGTTTATAATAAAGTGTCATCTTCATCCAGGTAGGCAGTCCTCCTGGGAGAAGTGCAGGGCCTGCCACAGGTTTTTGGGACATGTGTACAGAGCCAGGGTATATGGAGAAATCCCCAAAGTCCAGGTCAAGAAAATAGTCTCTCTTGCTAGCATTTCTAGGTAAAAGCCTCCTGTATCTGTATTCCCCACAGCCAGAGTCTATCCACTGAGGTAACAAGAGCTAACCTTGGATAGGTATTCAGAGCCAACCATGTGCACTGCAGTGATTGGCTTGTTCACTTTTCATTTACAGATGAGCAACAGAGGCTTCCAGAGCATGAGTACAGTCAATGGTAGAGGCCATGATAGAGCATAAGCTTTCTGATTCCAGAGCCCAGGTATATCTTCTCTCTGCAAGTAGGACTTGGGATCTCAGAGCTGACAGAGCCCTGTAAGAATGTGAGTGAACCTCTTCACTTTCCCTTTATTGGGGAAAATGGGGTAAGACAGACATTTCCAGAGTCTGTTAGTGCTAAACTGGGCCTGGCCGTAAGCTTCCCATCAGCTAGGCCAGCAACTCTTAGGACAAGTGTCTCCTGTATTAACCTTGACAAGCTGGTACAGCAATAAAAAATCACCAGCCATCATTATGGAGCACCTCCTATGTACTAGCCCTTGCCAGTACATACGTAAATATTGTTCCCCAGCCCAGAAGGCAAGACCCTCGTCAGGGTCTTGCTATGTAGCCCAGGCTGGCCTAGAACTCACCATCCTCCTTGCCTCAGCTTCCTGAGTGCTGGGATTACTGGTGTGCATCACCACTCCTGGCTTAGTCCTGCCTTTTTACAGGTGAGGACACTCAGGCTGAGAGTCTATGGTGGTTAGTAAGTGTAGACTTGGGTTTTGTATGCAGACTTTTTGGTTCTTCCTGGCCACTACAGTTTACCTTCCAGAGCACAAATCCAGTTAATGGCATAGGCCAGATTAGAGCCTGATCTGTCTGCCTCCATAAAGCCCAAGCCAGGATTGGGTTATTCTGTATACTTGAAGCATTTGGTTGCAGTGTGGGTTTTGCTCAGGATCCCGAGAACCTACAGTATCTTGAGATGAATCACAAAGCGCTAAGGATCTACCAGTGGAGACCCTCATGTTGTTTGCTTATGGGCCACTTCTGGCACTTCAGTCTCTGGGCCACATAACCATGGAGGAATTATCTGGGTTCAAGGGAACATTAAAACCAGCTCAATTGCGATGTAGTAAAACTTTGAATATGATCTTGGTCTTGAACTGTGATTTCTATAACTTGTCCACTTAGTTCCTTTGGATGTAGAATAGCAAGCTCTGAGAGTTGTGGCTACCCCCACTCTGTGGGAACCCTTCTGACCCACCAGCACAACATGTGGGACTGTGACTGCTCATGATCAAGTATATGTGACCCTTCTATGGTCCAACTGGGTGGAGGCACAGGGGTGCAAGTGCTCTGCACCTCCAGACCTCCCAACAGGGATGAGTTTCTGGGTGGTAATTTCAGTTAGTCCATGCACCATCCCCAACTCAAATTTCCCCTCAGATGGTGGGCCCCTTGCACTTTAGGCTAGAATATCTGGGCCTTGGATATTGATCATCCCATGAGGGGCCTAAGCAAGCTCCTATTTTTAATGGGGCAGGCTGGAGTAAGCCCCTCTGCTTTGGCCTCTCTGTTCCTCACAGAGCATGAGTAAATACCACCTGCTTCAGGGCCCCACCTCATCCTTCTTGGGGCTCAGGATGAGTACTGCTGCTAAGTAGGTAGGCTGCTGTCTTGGCTTTGAAGGGGCTGCTGTGTGGAGCCACTCTTCAGACAGAGAAGAGCACAGTTCAGGTTTTAATAGAGGGTACAGAAGAGCTGCAAGAGATTCCAGTCCAATCTGCATTTAGGTCTATTCATAGCTTGGGCAGTTTTCTATTGGAAATCATGTGAATGATTTACAATAGGTCCTAGGTAAATCATGCAAATCTGCTGTAAAATGGAGTATTTGCACAAATAGGTTTTGAAGGGGTGTTGGTGATGAATGAAGTACTGTTTGTGCAGCGTGAGATCTGGGAGTCCTTGAAAGCACTGTATTTATGTATGAGGTATTTTCATAGAGGTCTTTGCATCCAAGAATCTCCATGCCCTCCCTGAGAATCCTGGTCTCACAGAGGCTCACAAGAATCACCCAAGGCTAACAGGGGGATGAAGAGGCCCTGCCTTCTTCTACCTTCAACTTGGGCAGCCTCCTCAACTGTGGCAGCATCAGTAGCTTGGCACATGTCCTCATTTTGCCTCAAGACCTACTACCCACTTCACAGTAGGAATTGAGGTAGCCAACTTAATTGAATTGATTGCTACTATAAAGCTATGGTTACTCCTCCAAAAGGCCTATTTAAATTTCTGAGCTATATAGAGATAACAAAATAAAAGCAGTGGTAATAAGGCACAGGATGATTATCAAATTGTTCTGGCAACCTTCAGTGTGAAAAAGATATAAAAGAAAAATTGAAAGGTATTAGTCTATAAATCTCACTGAGGTCAGAAGCCTAGAGTCTTTTAAAAAAGATTTTAGAAACAAAACTTTAGAATACACACACACACACACATACACACACACACACTGCAGTCATCTCATAGGAGTTCCTATCTTAGATTACATTAATATTGTTAACCTATTTTAAATTCCTGTGGCACAGCAAGAGTCTTATATACTTATAAGATTTTTTTAAATGCATGAGCTTTAAATTCGTTTTCTTACTTTAAATAGATGTATATTAACTCTCCGTTTAGGCTGTAGGACCTCCTAGCTTAGTATAACAGTCCAACAAAATAAGAGTGGATACAAACTCTGTAATTTACTCACAGGCATAAATGGATATATAAATGTAAAAATGTGCACAATATTTTATGCCATGCTTGGCTTCATTGTGACCTAATGTTTATAATATGTAAATAATGGCTTCCTTTTAAAGCAAAGAACTTTTAATATACAGATTCATCTGAAAGTCCTTTTTCTTTACTATAAACAGAAATAAAAAGAAAAAAGTATTCTTTAGCAATAGGTAAATAACCAATGACAAAGGTTACCACTGAAGGGATTAAAAATAACAGAAGTCAACAGAAAACTTTCAATATCATACTTCTACTTTAATATGAAGATATTGCTATCAAAGAAAAAGACTCAAGAAATTCTTTGATAAAAATAATCTCATACTATCTTTGAAGTGGTTTCATTTATTTTACTACCCACTGTGTTCCTTATCAGAAGGCCAAGGGTAAGAAGTTTCCTAGTTGTGATTAGGAAAGAATCTGATAGATCAGAAGACCCAATTGAAGTGGGACATAATAAGTATTAAAGTATTACATGACATTAATCCTGCCATTCCATTACTCTCTCCATCTTTGTGCACAGACTATTATTCTGTAGCCAGTATTCAGGAGAAAATAGAAACACACTTACCGTGGGCTGGAGTAATCTCTTTATTGCATCAACAAGACTGGCTCTGTACTGGTCCAGAAACAAGCTGACATTGAGAAGAGAGCAGAATCCAGATTAAACTGGGTCTTCAAGTCTAGTGATACTAATAGTGAGAAATACAAGGCTAATTACATGTTTACCAACACTAAAAAAGAGAGATTGTTTTCTTCAAATGTCTCACTGGGGATTTTGTTTTTCTTTAAGAAGATATTATGGTCAGTGTTTTGCAACTAAAGCCAAATCATCAATATGCCATGGACCAGAATTCACACATGCTGGGCCATGTGTTAATGTTAAAGGGACAATTTCTAAGCTGCTCTTTGTGGTGTCATCAGTGGAGATGAAATACTCTTGGCATTTTTCCTTGTTATAGCCCCATTTCTCAAACAGCTTGGGGTCTCTGCCTACCCAGGGAACTATGAGCTGCTCTCCAAAAAGAAGACACCAGCCCTATTGCACCCAAACTACAGAACAGGTGCCATTGACTAGCAACAACATTAAGGAAAGACTCAACCAGTAACCTGGGAATGAACAGCTCCCAAAACAAAGCCTAGTCAATGCCACAGAGATCATGGTAACTCTGGTGCTTTCTCCCTTGACCTCTGTATTGCTTCTTTTCCCTTTGCTGTAATTTTTCATTTTTTTCCTCTGGTCTTTTGAGAATTTCTGTGGTTGCTCTGTTACTCATTTGGTTGGACCAGTCTGCCCTTGTCTTCATCAGGCCTTACTTTTGAAGTTTGAAAACAATTTCTTCATTCAAACTTGTAGATACCCGACTTAAGTTTGGCAGTTGAAGTCAAGTGAGTTAACTTTGGTATAGCTGGCGCTGTGGTTTAATTGTGTCCCTCCAAATTCATGTGTTGGAAACTTGATTAATTCCTGATGCAACAGTTTTAGCAGTGGGAATTTGACTCCTTTTTGCCCTTCTGACTTCTGCTATGTGAGGCACAGGGTTCCTCCCCTCTGGAAGATTCAACATTCATGGCACTACCTTGGAAGAACAGACCAGGTCCTCAGCAGATACCAAATGTACTGGCACCTTGATCTTGGACTTCCAAGATTCCAGAAAGTATGAGTCAAATGTTTCTAGTGCTTGTAAGTTACCCAGTCTGTGTATTCTTGTTATAATGGCACAAAATTGACTAAGATACCAGGAATGCTTATGCAACCCTTAGAAATGTTTCCTGTGGGTGGGATTGTGGTATGGAGGGGTGAAAGCACCCAATGCTACCAAAGACCATATGAGGCTTACAGTGCCTGGAAAAGTACTCCAAGCATAGCCATCGCACTCCTCTAAGAGGAAGCAAAGCTGCTGAATAAGCCAATAATATCTATTGGTTGTTGGGACCACTTTTTTTTTTTTATGAATATGAAGTTTGGAGTTCAGGAAATGTGAGTTTATCTTTAAAATCTGAACAATCCTGGAATATCCAGGATGTGGTTGCCAAAGTCATGGGACTCCAACTACACACATAGCATTGAAAGGCAGAAAAGAGATAAGGGAGAAGGGGCACTATGGGTGTCCTTATGGAGGTTACGCTATAAGAGGGATGTGAGTTGGACACAAGCATACACAAATTAAATACAAATGCCAAAGGTAAATGCAACTTTTTAACAACCAAACACTTACTGAGATGAGTAGTAGGTACTGGGTACCTTCCAAGAGTTTTTCATAGATTGACTCATCATTACTGTGAGGTAGTTGTTATTATTATGACTATTGTCATTGCCCACACTTTACAACTAAGGAAATAGAGGCACAGTGAGGTTCGTGGTCACACAGCTACTAATGGCAGGGCTGGGATTCACACCTACACTGAGCAGCATTAGAGACAGTGGTCTGGGCTACAGCTTCATACCATCTTCCCCATCTAATTCCATTTGCTCCTGAGCATGAAGTAACAGAAGATGGGCAGAGCAGGAGAAAGGCCCTCAAATGACTGGAGTTAGGCAAGTGTAAGCACAATGTCACAAGTAGAGAATTTGAAGTTCTTCCCCAGGCTCTGTGTTCCATAAGTGCCCTCCCACGCAAGCTCTAACTTCTTGAAAGCAGGAAGCATCCCTTATGTTTTTGTCCTTCTTCTACAGCATTTGGCAAGGAGCCAAGGTTAGGGCAGCCTAAAGGTTGATGGACTCCTTGAAATGAGCAGCAGCATATGTAATAATCATGCAGCGCTGGAGAAGTGTGCAAGACATTTGGTTTCAGCTTCAGGGCCATTGCTTCTACATTGTGTTTTTGCAAAGCAAAGGGAAAAAAAGGGATGTTCTGCTTCATAAAAATGGGCAATGATGTCTTTTAAAAAGCAGGAACAGCAGAGCTACTTCTGAAGAGGCATCTTAACTTGTAACACAGTCCAAATGCATTGCTTTGAAAAACAGTGTGCAAATCCTTCTATTCACATCTTGAATTTCCCATCTTATAGGGAGTGGATCCCTTACACCTTAGTGAGAACTCCAGCAAGCTTGTGTTATCTCATGAGGAGCCTATATGAGGACCCACTCCCATTTTGAATGCTGTAGACTGGTTGCATCTGGCCTCTCTATGCCTCACATAGCAGAGATGCCTCACATACTGCCTGCTCCAGAGCCCTGCTTCACCCTTCCAGGGGCTAGCAATGATTATTGGCTGTCAGGGGGAGGGTTGCTGTCCTCCCTCAAAGGGGACTACTGTGTGGAGCCACATTTCAGATAGTGGGGAGTATGGTTCAAATTCAAAAGAGCTCTGGCTTTGACCTTTCTACTATGTGACATAGGCAAGTCATTTTATGTGAGGCCTCAAAGTTTCCTTGTCAGTAAAGGCAGTCATCAAGTTAATAATACGTGCTCATTCGCAAAACTTGTTGAGCATCTGTAACATGTGCAGGGGTATTTTAGGCATTGGGGCTAAACTATGAATAAGACAAAGCCTCCCCCACCCCACAAGGAGCTTCCATCTGCATTCATTTGAGCTTCACAGTGCAGTGTGCATGCAGGTGGTGCTCAACAGTTACTACTTACCGCCTGACTCTTTCCTTCAAATGAAGGGAGTTATACAGGATACTGGTTTCAGTGACCCTAAATAAGTTGTATGCAGGCTTTTCTAGGGGTGGTTGGGGCTGAATTAACACTTAGATAGGAATGTTTTATGAGATAGGTTCTCTTCTGATTTGATGATTCTGTCATTTGAAAAATAGGAGTAAGGAGAGCAGTTTATGAGAAGTTCCCAAGAAGTCAGTGCCTGGGTGTCTTTGCTCACCCTACGGCCAGTGGAAAGCTTTTCCTTGGAAGGGGCTTTAAACAATGAAAAAGCATCCCCTTTGAATGAGCCAGAAACTATGCCTAGCATGGGAGGTAACCCTATCCCCTTCCATCCAGCAATCAGGATGGAAAACTTTCTTATCTTTCATAAAGCTGCATCCTTAAATCCTGGAGTGCAGAATATGTCTAATTCAAACAGTACAAAAATTGTCAGTATGTCATATTAAGCAGTGATTAATAACCATTAGGGATTGATGAGAAAGGAATTAAATTAGAACTAAGTCTTTTACAAAGAGTAGATTTCAGAACACACTATACCTTATTCTTTAGGGAGGTCACGATATCTTTAGCTTTAACAATTGAACATTCTATTTTTTTTTTAAGAAGACTATCACTATGAGGAAGTATCTCTGTTGGTCAGTTGGTCCTATATGACATCTGGCTGGTTGGCATACACAGCAGCTAAGCAAAGGACCACTCTTAGTTCATACCTATGTATCCTAAGAACTAATAAGACTGCTAGAAAAAGATGAATAGCACCTTACCAGCTGAGCTTAATGCATGCCCTTATAAAACACTCTTACTGTTGGTAATGGTAACAAAGAGGTTAACAGCACAGCAGACTGGAAAGTGCGGCTTACCACCCGGCACACATTCCAGACACAGTTATTTCAAAGGTAATGGAGTCTACTCCATCATTCCAAATCAAATCTCCCAAAAGTAATTCTTATAGTTCTCTAAAAGATCTTTATTCCAAGCAAGCTCACTTTTCTACTTAGCTCTGATGCAGAATTTATAATGCTTTGTAGGGTACGTCATATGAGCAATTTCAATGTGCGTTAGTGGGAGTGATATGTAATCTCCTGAAAATTCACCCCTCAAATAAGTCCTAATGGCTCAGAGAACAGCAGTAGCTTAAGTGGATCTATTTAAAAAGGCTGAGTGGGTCAGTGATGGGGATGGAGATACCATTTCAACTCTCCCTTCAGTTACTGATCAAAATACATAGAACAGTCCAGTTTGGCCATTAAATCTCTCTCTCTCTCTCTCTCTCTCTCTCTCTCTCTCTCTCTCTCTCTCTCTCTCTGTGTGTGTGTGTGTGTGTGCGTGTGTGTGTGATTGCTTGTGGCAGCAACACTTGCTTTGTTCCATTGATCTGAATCACAGATTTTCTGACAAAGGAAAGGTGTTGGACCATTTTCCTTGCTTCCCTTAGAATCAGGATTGAATGCAGAGCATGGATCATGTGTAATTCCTCTCATAGAAAAATTTATTAGTGCAGAGCATAAGAGGACATTTCTCTCTGACAATATCCACAAAAAGGAAGACTGCAATGCAATTTCCATGGTGAAATGTACAGCGTTAAACTCACTGTTTTAGATTTAACTTTTAGCAGAGGGATACCCTCTTTCAGTATTTATCAACTGATTTTTATGGAAGCTCAGAATGATGCTGTATTCTCACTTGGCTCTACCTCTTTAGTTGCAGAATCTTGGGCAGTTCATGGATCTCCTCAGAGGCTGAGTGTGAGGTGAAAGGGCTGACTACATTTGGCTTAAGGTCTTTTCAGGTGTTAGGGAGCTGTAAGTTGTGATCTAGAGCTATCCATGATTACAGTTTCTGGAAGACAACTTCTAGAGTCCAGGGTATTTCCATGTTGATAAAAAAAACCCATTTTTATGAAGATAGCTTAAAACTCAAACTTTTCCCCATCATTTTAGAGGAAAGTAAAAAGGATGGAAAAAGAACCCACAGTGAACAGCCTTAAGGTAGGGTGTATAGGCAAATGTACTTTCTCCCATTTCTCTCCATATCTCAGGTGTGGGCACATACATGTGCCAATTGTCTTGCATATCCAGCTTGATGGTCAGTCAGGCTATGGGTGGCATATCAGACATGTTTTCTAAGCCTTTTGAGAATTCAAATCTATAGAGTCATTTCTATTTTTGCAGAGCTACAATAAACTGGAGAGCCATCAAACACTGAACAAAGGTGTTCACTGGATAAAAATAATCTTACTTTCAGACCCTTAGATTATATTGTGATTGAACGGAAGTCTGGAAAGGTAGGCTTAAAATTAGCAAGCACTCGCTATTCTAAAGGTAGCAAGGACCAGGCTAGACTGTATTCCAGCAGAAAGGAATCCTTATATTAAACTCAACATTAAACAAGTCAACTGAGGAACTTAATAGGCAGGTTTTTCCCTACCCCTGTGGTTAAATATTCTAATATTTTGATGTTTGTCAACAGCATCCTTTTGCAGGTGTGACTGTACCTTGATTTTTCCTTCTGTTTATTTCAAAGTTGACATTTTACAAGATATTCGGGAACTGTTGAACCATGAAACTATTTTTCATTGTCAAAAATGCTGAATGGTGAAATAATGACTAGCTTTCACAGTTTGCCTCTTTATTTTATAATCTCGTTGAGCTACAAAATTTGGATGTGAAGTAGGAGACTGTCTCTTCTGGGAAATAGGTTATTTTCCCCCACTGCCCACAGGTTTGTGAATGTTTGAATGTAAATATGTGAATATATGAATGATTTAAGAACATAAATATATCACCGCTTGTTGTAATCATGCACATTTTACTTGAACCACAATGTGGGTTTGGAATAGGTCTGTGAATAGAGCTTGTTTTCATGTAAATGGGATCAAGCATACCACTGGTTAGGTATTCAGGGAATCAGACAATGCCACCCTTGCTGGAAATGCTTCAATAAGAATTTAACCCATGTACCTAATATTTGAACTTCAACTCTTGCATCATATTCCTGTGGCCTAATCCAGGTCTCATCGGATGACTGATAATGACTAAAGGAGGGTGTGAGACTTAACATGATCTGTTTATGTGTGGTGCCTCTTTTTGGCCCTGACTATTTCAGGTCCTATCTTGGACGTAACATCTACAAAGACCTTTCTTTCCCCCACTCTGTGACATTCTAAAAGATGCATCATGGCCTGAGTATCCTTGCAATAACTCCCTATGGAGCAACACCAAACCAAGAGGATATAAAGAACACGTGGGATGCTGTCCTTCACCACTATATGCACAACGGATATATTATAAACATCACTGTACTAAGGTTCTAAGCAGCTTACCCATCTCTGTGAATATGGAGAGAGACCATTACCAAAGCATTTCTTTTAGAAATAATATGAGCATTGCAGTGAGAGTAGCTTAATGTTTCACATTTACAAATGGGAAATTACAAATAGGCTGACATTCTGGCACTTACCACACCAGGAAAAAAAAAAAACCGTAACAACAATTCATGCATAGACAAGCCATTTATAAAATGAAGCTTGGTGTATTTAGTTCATTTGAATCCATAAATTCTCATATAGCTACCAGATGCATGTGTGTGTGCATGAATGTGTACATGTAATATTGCATTATGTTGCATCTTTATAATGAGAGCCCTAAACTGAATATGCATTATGTTCATCAGTTGTACATGACCCTGTTGTCAGCTAGGGAAAAAAAAAAGACTTTCAGACATGTTGTGCAGCTATTTTTAACTGAGAACACTAATCAGAAAAGAGCTTAAATTTTACTTCCTTTGCTTGTCTCTCTGGTACAAATAGGATGACATGGTGTGGGTGTCCATAACACAAGGTATGAAAAAACAGGCTGTTTTGATATTTGTATGAAGGACAAATTTAACTGTAATTCTTTGGCCAGACCTGCCTTTCCCCACATCATAGCCAGTGGGGGTGTGACCCTCATCTAAACTTTCAAGAAGACACTGCTCCCTTCCCTCTCGCTGCTGCTCTCTGATCCGACTTGTATGCTTAATCTGATCTAATCCTGCCAGCATTATCTTCATCTGTGCAATGAGACCTGGAGGATCTTTTCTCATATTTGGTGAGGAAAGGCATTTACTAAATTACTTGCACAAATCATATGGTGTGGTTTTTTTAGCTCCTTATTTTTGGTTAAATGGAGGGATGTAGCATTGACTTGTCAGAAATCTAGGTTTCTCCCATTTTTGGAAGAAGGTTTTTGGAAATTGGGTGCAACGAGACTAAAAGAGCCATGAAAATTTCAGTTAAAAATAGGACAAAATATTTGTTGTTCATGGAGAAGTATATTTCAGAAGAAAAAAGCAAACATAATTCCATTGACTTTGGTAGGAAAGATATACACTGAAAATCATATTTAAATAATGATAACTAAAAATTAATTCCTGAAAATTTTATTCAACTCTCCTCAGAGCAGTCTTCTCTGGATTTTATGATTGAGCTTTTCAATATAATAGAACTTTGGAATCTGGACTTGTTATGTTTTTAAATCTAAAGTGTCATGATAATTATCATGATAAAACCACAAATAAGCTCATACTCTTAACAGGGAAAATACTGGGGAATTGTCAATGTTTCCCATGTGCTGAAATAATTATTACTCAAAGGCATGAAGTAATACATAAGATTAGTTGAAATAATTACTAAGGTCTGATGCATATTTACCCTGCAACTTAGGATCAGACTTTCATTAACAAACAAGTAGATTGGGCTAAAAAGGAAGACAAAACATCTAATGTAAATTTATTTTTAAAAAGCAATCACCTGACAAAGATTTGGATGCTTTTATTTGCATACAAATAAAATGCAATTTTATAATTTTTGTGTTATGTGTAATTAAATATCATAATGAGTGCAATGAAAATAATAGATAGTAAATATACACTTTAAGAAAGGCTATTTCCCCAAAGATATTCCACAGATATGTTTATTTGCTGGAGAGTGTTGATATATTTCCTTATATCAATAGTCAGATCTCTCCTAAGAAGTAAGCTAATTGAGCTGTTTGTGTTGATAAACTCCTTTTTCTCCAGACTATTCCTCTCCCAGCCATAATTATTTGCAATTTGCCTAAGTTGTCCATTTACTGATACATCAAGCATGAAACAGAGGCAATTCCAGAAAATGGAAATGCTTCTCAGAATCAATCTTTGGGAAATAATGTGGTAGAAGTTACTGTGTGATAGAAGACTACCTTATAACTGTCACATGGAGATGAATATTAATTTGTTGAGGTTAAGGTGGTTTTGTGCTTCATTTGTTGACTTTGCTTAGCCGTCAGCAAAGCAGCACAGTCCAATTACTCCAGCAAAGCTATTTTTTTTCTAACAGAAGTTTTATGATTTTTATGTACTTACCAGTCAGCACACATAACAATGTCAAAATGTCCTTCCAGTTGAGAGACATCTGTCTCATTATCCCATCGTAAAACGCTTGAGGAGAAAAAGATTTTAAAAATTATACTTAGGTTTTTTTTTTAACTTATGATTTTGAGCTATTAACATTATTTTTTGTGGCACTTGAAATTATTTAAAAGGTATATACAAATTATTTCAAAAGATATAATAAAAAACTAGGATGTAACTATATTCTGTATTATATTTAGTCTTCAGATCTAGAAGAGGAAGAATTCTCTATTTAAATATAATAGTTAAGCTTTTGCTAGTTTTTGTAGGTTTTGTAGACAAACTAGAGAGAAATAGCTTAGCTTTACCATAGTTATTAAAACGATTTAGACCCTTAACATCAATGAGGTATATACTGAAATTGAAGTATTCCCCATCCTGATGGGAATACAAATGTATAAAAATAAATGATGTGAAACTGAGTGTGTATCTATCCCACCTGGCTTGTATTTCTTATTGATGAAATAAGCAAAATGGAAGAAAAGAAAAGTCAACTTCCATTTGGTAGTTCTCAGTTTTTAAGCATACTTTGAAATTCTTCCATATTCACAGTCTCCAAAGGAGGATCAGGTGTTAAGCCTCACATTAATAACAATAATTAATAACATGAATTTGAAAACTCTAGTTATGCTTAAAAAGCCAACCAAAGGCTTTATATTACTCTCAGTTGATAACTGTGATGATTAGCATTTTACCAAATTAAGGTATTTTAATGATTTTTCTCTCTACCACACTTAAACTGTGATTTGCAATACTATTTTTTAAAAGTAAAATTCTGCCCCAATTTTCTATTTTGATTTTTTAGAGCTAGACTGAGCAGATCACACCCTACCTTGTCCACTTATATTTGCTTATTTTGGTGAGGTTTTTTTTATTTCTTCTATGTCTTCCCTTGGTGAAAATCATGTGTTTGAATATAAAAATAAGACTTAGTCCAAAAGTTCTTTTCAGTAAATTTCTTAAGGTAGAAAAGATTAAACCACCACAAATATACTTACACAGGCTGAGTGTCAGTTGGTCATTCACTCTCTTGACTTATTCTTACTGAGCACCAACTATACACCATGTATCAGGCCGTGTGCTATGCCTCAGTCACACCTTCACAGAGGCAGTCTATGAAACCATACAGACAGACTCAAAGCACCAGGGAAGGCTTTACGGAAGTGGATTACTTTAGCATTCACAGGTCCGTGACACCGGAACAAGCTTTAACAATCAACTCTAGTGTGGTTCTACTTGCCTAGTCCCACTAGAGAGCCAAGAAACAAAAGAATCCAAGAGATCCCTAAGAGATTAATGATTACATTGTTTTTGGACTCCTCAGAATCTTCATGCACCTAGGGAGAGTGGGAAACAACTAGGAACTTTTTCCGGATATATGGAGGCTTCTGGTGCTCCTGGAACTCAAGACTCTGCAGGAAAATGGACCTCTCACCCTCATCAGAGACCAGAGAGTCCTCAAAAGCTTCCACACGAACAAGAATTGTTTAAAATATAGGTCTAGTACCCAGGCATGGTGGCACAGGTCTGTAATACCAGCACTCAGGAAGCTTGGCAGAAGGATCACAACTTCAAGGCCAGCCTGGGCTATATAGAGAGACCCTGCCGCAAACAACAACCCTCCCCCACCACCCCATATATAGATCTATACTAGACAATCTCAGATCACAAATGTATCCATCACACATGTTTTGAGACAGAGAAAAGTAATAAAATTACTCACAATCTTACCATTCAAGCTTCAACTATTTAGAAGATGCTCTTAATACATATGCAATTATTAAAGCAGAACGACAGGAAAACCTGTGGTGACATTAAACACTGGATTCCAGAGGTGCTCAGCCTCCTAGTTCAACAAGGACAAACTGGAGAGACCAGGTCTAGGCAGCAGTTGATTATGGATCACCACAGCAGCCGTGACAAGTTGAAATGCCCAGGTCATGTGGACCACAATACATTACCATGAGGTACTTTCCCAGTTCTCACAAAGCTTATGGTTATGCTGTCCCTATAACTATAAGCATGTGACAGACAGAGGTGGTGTAGTCAGAACTCAACTTTGGCACAACAGACACACTGAGGTTCTAGTAGACACACTGAGCTACTTAGTAGCTGTGTGAATTTCTGCAATTACTTAATAACTCCGAATTTGTTTACTGATCTGTAAACCAGGGATAAGTACCACCTTTTTGAATTCTCAATGAGCACCATTCATATCGTATCTGGAGTTGTATTGTTCATACAGTATATAGTGAGAATGGTGCCCCCTAGAATTGTGCAGTCAGATTACCTTCTATCATAGAAGGACAGAGATGATAGCGACTACATTATTCAAGGAACTGGTCCTTCCAACTCTTCTCTACCACTGACCTTGCCTTCCTCTCTCTGGAGATCCTCCCATGCACAGCCATGCACAGGTACTTCAGCTGTGGGGGAGGACCAGATTTTGTTTGTTTGTACCAATTTGTTGCAAACCAATACTTTTATGAAATTTGAGAACAAACTAATAGACAAATTAGGTTCAAAACAACAAAGGCATTCAAAATACAAGTCCACCGATCATATACTTGCATGTTACAGCAGTATTTCTAAATATTAACCTTCAATTTCTGAACATACCTCACCACACACAGTAACATGCAGTTCACAGCCAGGAACATGCAGTCCATATCTTACCCATTGAGTAGCCCTGCTCTAGACCTTATCTGTACCAATAACTGCAAGTCTCATCCACTCTTGGGTCATCCTCTCCTATCTTTCATAGCTCATTCCTTCTAGAATGTTCTCTAATGCAATCATTTCTCAGTCTCACTGATCTACAATGCACTGATGCTATCCACATGTCACTGTCCCTCTCCTCTAATATTTACCTTCTTTTCTTGCCCATTTTAATTACTGTCTTACATACACCCTCAACTTCCTTGTCACTCTCTTCCTTCCTTGTTTTTGCTGAATCCAGCTCTCTTCCTGGCCCATGAATATGTGCACCTGAATGTAGATAGCACACAGTAGTGTGACTGGCTTTGATTTAAATTCTTGACCATGAACCTTGAGTGTATTCAACAATGCCTGACAGTTGTGCTTGCATTTCCTTTGCCCATTTTCTCTTCCACTCTTCTATGTCATTATTTTGTACTTTCTTACCATTCTTTCTTTCCTTCTTTCCTTTCTTTCTTCCTTCCTTCTTCCATTCCTTTTTCCTTTTGTTTCCTTCCCTTCACTCCCCTTCCCTTTCCCTCCCTCTCTTCCTTTCTTTCTTCCTCTCTCTCTCTTTCTCTTTCCTTTGACATGATCTCTGTGCTGTGGCATAGTCTATGCTGGCCTTAAACTCATGATCCTCCTGTCTTAGTCTCCAAAGTGCTGGGATTACAGGCACATACCACCACACCAAGTTCCTACTTCTCTTTTCAACATTTTTACACTAACCCATCCCCACTCTCAGATGATGACCTTGCTTGCTACTTTATTATCAAAATTGCCACAATCAGATGAGAATTTTCCTAAACTTCTACCACCACACTTCTGCTCCTACCAACATCTGCATGTAGTTCCTCTGCCTTCCTGCCTATTATCAAGCTCCTACCTACAGCCAGTACCTTCTTACACCCTAGAGCCATCCCCTTTCATCTATTCTAGGTCATGGATCTAGCAATTTCCCTTCTATTTCCTCTATTTCAGCTCTTTCCTCTCTAGATTATTTCCATCATCTCTAAATGTGCAGTTATTTCCTCCCTTGTGAAATATCCTCTCTTGACATCACCTCCCCCTCCAGTTATTGGTCCATTTTTCTATTCCTGCTTTGAAGCCAAACTCCTTTAAAAAATAGTTTAAACTCTGCTTCCATCTCATTCTGTCTTAAATTCACTCTAATTTTGTCCCCACCTTCTACCAAAATGTTTTTGTCAAACTCACCAAAGATGTCTGTATTGCTAAATCCAGGTCAGTTCTTAGCTTTCATCCTTCTTTATCTACCAACCTGAACTTTGCCCATAAACTCCAAATTCATATATCCAACTTCCTATTTTAATACTTCCATTTGGATATCTAACAGACATCTAAACTTAACATATCCAAATTTGAATTCTCAAATCTCTGTCCCAAAATTCACTTCATTCAATCTTTTTTTAATTTCATTAATGGTAATTCTACCTTTCCAGTTGCTCAGGCCAAAAACGTTAAATATATTCCTGATTCTTTCTTTTACATCCCATGTTAAATATGCCAAAAATGTAGTTAGTCCTACCTTTGAAATACATCAAAATCCAACCATCTCTGTCTCCACTGCTCACACCTGATCTAAACTATCATAACCTCTTATATAAATTATTGTAGTCTCCTGACTTGTCTCTCAGTTTCCACCTGTGACCTTATGCTCTCTGCTCAAGAGAACAGTCAGAGTGATCCTTTTGAAACATATTCCAGATCAAAAGCTTTGTCTAATTCCTTGTGATGCCTCTTCTTTACTCAGAGTAAAAACCCAAGACTTTGCAATGGCTTATATGACCCTATGCTCTTGGGCTTGCTTATAACTCTGACCTCATCTCCTATTATTTGCACCTTGTTCACTTTGCCCTAGTGACACTGGCCTCCTTATGGTTTCTTGAAGACACCAGGTATGCTTCTGTCCTAGCAGCTTTACTAGGCTACTTACTCTGCCTAAATACTCCTCTTCCAGATATCCACATGGCTCATGCATACTAACCTCCTGCAAGTCTTTGTTCAAATGTCTTACCTTCTCTTATGGCAGCCTTCAGTAACAAACTTGCTTAAAAACTGCAATCTAGAACTTCTAGTCCAGTATTAGAAATTATCTATCTTGCTCTTTAATTTTTCTGTAGCAGCTATTAACTTTTGTTGTGTTATATAACTAACTTACTAACTTTTGTTTATTTTCTCTTTCCCCCCTAGGATATAAGCCTGAAGGGGATAGAGATTTTTAAAATCTGTTTTGGGCAGTGAGTATTTTAATTGCCTAGAACACTCCATGATATATAATAGATGCTCAATAAATATACCATCTGAATGAA